CAGGATAGATCTTGATACATTCTTTGTGATGATGAATGCCACACCATTCTTCTTCAATTTGTCATTCCTGGCATAGTAGATCATATGGTTGTCTGATTCAAAATGGCCAAAACCAGTCCATTTCAGCTCACTAACACCTAGGATATCGATCTTTATGTGTTCCATTTCATTTTTGACAACTTCCAATTTTCTTGGAGTCATACTTCATACATTCCATGTTCCACTTATTAATGGTTTGTTATTATTAATTGTAATTATTAATTATTAATGTTTGCAGCTGTTTCTTCTCATCTTGAGATGTGTCACATCAGCAAATGGGGTTTCCAAAAGTTTTACTTATCCACATCATTAAGGTCAGCTCTACTCTGAGGAGGCACCTCTTCTCCAGTTGTATTTTGAGTGCCTTCCGACCTGAAGGGTTCGTCCTCCAGCACTATATTGCACAGTGTTTCAGAGCTATTCATAAAGTTTTCCAGTAATGTATCAGTGTTTCACTGCTATTCATAAGGTTCTCACTGGCCAATTCTTTGACAAGTAGATGGTCTCTTCCTTCTTTTGAGTCTCTCTTAATTTGGAAGCTCTGCTGAAACCTGTCCACCATGGGTAACCCTGCTGGCATTTGAAACACTGGTAGCATAGCCTCCAGCCTTACAACAACACTCAAGCCACCATATACAACAAACTGACAGTCAAGTTTGTCTCCCTTAGCTATTGGTGATGGTTGTAAAAAATGGTATTTGTAACTAGTATCACTGGATTGTACACGTAAACAATGTTGAATTGGTTAATGAAGAGTTATATATATATTTCCCAAAAGAAAAACAAAATTAAAAAATAATAATAAACAATATCAAGGGTATTAGCTCTAATGTTTATAATTTTCTGAATACTTTTGAGCAATATTTTGTTCATACAGTTCAGGCAAAATGGAACCTGGAGAGGCAGAGGTCTCCCCTGATAAGCACAAAGTGACTGAGGGTTGGAAAGCATGTAGCTGTCAGTGCAAGGTGTTCACCAGCAGCCAAACTGGTTTATCAAAGCAGGGCATGTAAAAGGTAAAGAATGACGACAGTGAGTAAGTGTGCTTGCGAAGAGGATGAGGCTCCGTGTGCCTCTGGTCTCCAAGAACATTTTGGGGAGAAATTACTCCTGTGAATGTGTAGGACACTTTACTTATCTCTGTACAAGATTAACACCATCGAGCCACTGGACTACACCACAAACCTATATATCACTACATGCAACAAGGTTATATTGCTATCAACAATTGTGGTGCAGTGAATTACTTAATATGGCCTTTATGAGTCCCACAAAATGAGTCAGTGGGAGTATGCAAATAGGTGCTCGTGACACACCAAAGGGATTGGACAGCTGGCTAATAATGCAAATAAGGTGCATGGGACACTTGCAGGTGTGGGTATCTTTCTCTTCCTAAGGACAAAGTTGTTTGGAGTCAATCTCGACTCCTCCATTTCTCTTACAACTCACATTCAGTTAAACAGTCAACTCTGCCTTCAGAATATATACATCATGCCATCCTCGTCCGAGCCTAGTGTGATAAGAGACAGGAAGACAGATGGGCCATGGGTCAAGCAATGGGCTCTAGGGCCACCCAACAAATTCCTGACTTGCAGAAGCAGTGTCCCCTAACAGTCTAAAGGCCACAGTGACTCCCACATACTGGCTCTCAGCTACTTACCTGGACAGGTGCTTTTTGAGAGACCATAGCTACTGCCCATTCTCCAGCAAGTAGGTCACCTTCCATTGGGAACAGGATGTGCTATTAATTGGGACAAAATAGAAATGGTTATTTTGGTAAGAATGAGAGGAAACATCTCAATCCTGCCTGGCCTTCGAGACAGGTGGATTTGGAATGAGGTTACTTTTACCCAAACAAAATGCTGATATTTGACCCAAAATACAAGAGCACATACAGCAGCCCAGTCACCAGAGGTTGTAGAGGGGAGTACTGATGGGACCCTGGAAGGTGACATCTGTCATTCCAGACAATGCTTTTAATCGAGTCACTAGGTCTCAACCACCCAGTAGATCAAAACCACCTGGTGATGCCTGGTTCAGAAACCAAACCAAATTAAAACCTCTGTGGGGAGATGAAGGCTTCAGTACATTGTGAAACTCCTCAGGCAATTGTGAGGCCTAAACCCAATTGTGTGGAGTTAACTCTGAATCATGATGACGACCGTTATGTCCGAGTAGAACTGCGCCCCATTGGGTTTTCAATGGTTGATTATTCAGAAGTAGATCACCAGGCCATTCTTTCAAGACACCTTTGGGTGGACTCCAGACACCAAACTTCCATTTAGCAGCCAAGCATTCTACTGTTTGCACTTTCCAGGGACTACATGAGTCTGAGAGAGGGTTGAATAACACTCGTCTAAATCAACTGTTGAATAGGAGGTAAGGAAAATAGATATTTTACTTTGATTTTAAGGTTTTTCTTATCTACAAATTCAAATATTAACCATAAAAGACCTGACACAAACTGCAAAAGCCTGCCAGAAACAGCTCGGTAGAATGTAAAGTTGTCTTATCCTGGTAGAAAAGGATAGTCTTCAAACCATTAATTCCTAATTTAAATCTCAAAAGGACTCATGGCTACAGGTGGGGAAAAACAAAAATCAACTTGTTGCCATGGAGTAAATTCTATGGACTCACAGGGGCCCTTTAGGATAGGGTAGAAGTGTCCAATTGAGTTTCCAGGCTGTAAACTTAGAGAAGCCGACTGCCACATGTTCCCAAACCTGGAGCAACTGCTAGGTTCAAAACACCAGCCTTTCAGTTAGCAGTCAAGCGCTTTAACCACTGCACCACCAGGGCTCCTTGCAGATGGGTGGCGGGCCCCATTCTCAGCACCCAGACCAGAAGTAAACTGTTAACAGTTGATGTCAGCAGAAGAGGGAAGGGAGGCTTCAGTCATGTTCACATTAGCCAATGGTTGCTCTCTATTTCTCCCTCCTCTTCTCTTTATAAGCCATTTCCTTTCTCTTGTATCCACATCCGGTAACTGTTCAGAATAACTTTATATTGAACTTTCAGTGAGTTTTGATTATTTCTAACACCACGGAATCATCAGGAGTCTGACAGGCAGAGGCCCTGGTCTGGAGAGGCTCTGGAAGGCACAGGGATGATGACTTCCAGGCTGGGGAGACACCCATGGGCCTTGGCCGAGCCCTGCAGGGCCAGGGAGGGCTCAGGTGTAAGCGCCGGGCCATGACCCTGCGCCTCCTTGCGGGGAGCCCCGGGAGTGAGGGAGCGGAGGCCTGCACATCAGGGGCCAAGCTGTGGCCCTTTCACTCCCTGTGGCCCAACAGCCGCCAGGTAGCACGACTGGAAACCTCCTCAACACCTCTCTCAGAATGGCGGCAAGCGCATGCGCACTACGTCACCGGTGGGCAGGATCCGGGCTCCGGCAGCGCCGCCATTTTGGGACCAGAGACAGTCCCAGCGCGGTGGTGGGGCTGGCCTGTGAGCCCCAGCGAGGGTGGCGTGGGGTCCGGCCTCCAGCCTGAGACCGCAGAGCCATCTTCCCTCCTCTGTCTGCAGGCTTTCTGGCCGCGGGGCGCCCTCCCTGCGACCCTCTGAGGGTCTCCTCAGGTGCCGGCGCTGGGCCGTCCACTGGCCGGGACTCTGCGGGGCACCCCAGTCCTCTCCTGTCCAGACTGGAGGTGGAGCCCCGTAACACTGTAACCGCCACCGCCATCTTAAGTCCCTCCTCACACACCCCTCCCACCGTGAACGCCGTTCGCGTGGACACGCCCCGCGGGACACCCGACAGGGTCGCTGGACGCTCACTGGCCCTCACGGCCACAGGCAGCATTCAGCTTGCGTCCTGCTGGCCTTCCTCCTAAACACCCGCGGGACGCCCCTCTGGGCCATACCGTCTCCACCGCTCAGCCAGTTAGCACTGTCGCCGGTGTGGCCGTGGAGGACGCTCAGGGACTCTGCCACGTCCCTGTCCCCATGCCTTTCCCTCCCAGCTCCTCAGTCAAGCTGGTGACTGCAGCCTGACTGCCCCTCCAGGTCCCGCAAACCAATGATCCCCAGAGGAAGAGAGGAAGCAGCGCTCTCCTCTCAGAGCCTCTCTGCACTTGGTCCCCAGCCACCGCGTCACTATGTGCATGGCCCATACACCAGGTCTGGGGCATCCCCTCCACATGCCTGCCTCAAGCCTCCCAGCAGTGATTGTGCACGTGTCCCCACAGCTGTCATCGTGTATTCATACACTAGTCCTTGGTGTCTGTATATGCCACTGGTGTGTCCCATGTCACACACCATTTCTGCTATTGAAGGGGGATATATAGTTGTGGCTTCAAAATAACTGTCGAGGTGTGTCTCCAGGGTAGATGCAAGATGACCCCAGGTGTGTCATTAGAGCACATCTGTCACAGAGTCCCCCAGACATGTGCCTGCTTCTCTCACAGGTGTGCTACACTGTCACCACCACACCCATGCATATAGTACCGTTAGGTTTCGAATGCCGAAAGGAATATGACCGAAAGGAATATGACCGAAAGGAATATGACCAGGGTGAATTGTTAGAAAAATAAGTTTTATTGAATCATCGGTCTGACGGATGGGCTGAGGCTTGGAGTAGCATCAGCCCTGATCCAGTCTCTGCAGGGTGTTTAAGTAGTGTTTTAATGCAGGAGGTCGACTGCCTATTTCAAAAGAACCAATCCTAAGTGCTGAAGAGGAACTAAACACAAGGGAGGGCAGGGACAAGATAAGCCCAGGATGGAGACTAAGGATCCAAGCAGAAACAGAGTGGGCGTGAGGGGCAGCTTCATGGCAGGGGAAAAATGAACAAACAACTCCACAGGAAACTGGGAGTTTGGGAGCTTGGGAGCCTGGGAAAGTAAAGAACTTCATCAGAGAGAAAGAGAAAAAAAAAACTTAGTAGATATTAGCAGATCCGGTAGGGGGTGAAGGATTTATCTATCAAGTACCTGTTTCCAGACTGTGCCAGGGAGTGCTAGCAGTCACACTGCTTGTGGTTCCAGATGTGTCACCATCACAAACCTGTCCACCAGGTACTCAAACCACCTGTGACCAATATCTAGCAGGCAGGAAATCTGGGGAAAAGGTTAGCACGTTAGACAGCATCAGAGATCCAATAGTGTAGTCCCTCGGAAACCCAGGGAGGGGTTGCTATGAGTTGGGTTGACTCAACAGCAAATAACAACAGGCTATGGAAAAGGGGCAGGGACACAAATGCACAAACTGACAAAAGGCTTAGCAGCTGTAACACATCAATGAAATTATTTAAATAGAGGTACATGGTACTTGGCATAGTGTCTAAGGCACTTGACTGCTAACTAGAAGGCTGGAGGTTCAAACCCACCAGCCACTCCTCAAAAGGAAGGTTGGGCAATCTACTTCCGTAGAGATACTGCCTCGGAAACCCAAGAAGGGGTCACTATGAGTCGGATCTGACTCAACAGCAGTGAGTTTAGTTTTTGGCTTGGTACTTACAGGACAACTGACAAATAAAACACTAAAAGCCTAAGAACACATTTTGGATCCTGGTGGCAACCAATCTTTTAAAAAAATTAAGTTTTGAGACAACTGCTATCATTCAGGGCTAACATTTTAAAGTAATTTCATGTTGCTTGATAAAGTTAATGGGCTATGATACAACCTTAAAAACTCAATGCCGTCGAGTCAATTTGACTCATAGTGACCCATCCTTGGTTTTCCGAGGTGGTAGCTCTACAGAAATAGATTGCCCAGTCTTCCTTCCAAGGAGTGGCTGATGGGTTTGAACCGCCAGGTTCCTGGTTAGCAGTCAAATGCCTTAAGTACTACATCACCAGAGCTCTTACGTTTTTGAAAATTCATTCTGACGAGGTCTGGCATTAAATGACATGATGTCTGGAAGGGTAAGTAAAATCACCTGGTTCCATGAAAAGATAACCACCCACCTATGCTGTGACTCAAGCCTAGCAGTCAGTTATCAACACAAACGAAACATTATCTCCAGATGGAGAGCTATACCCACGTGTTCACAGCAGCTTTATTTGCAAGAGCCCAAAACTGGAAATAACTCAATGTCCACAAACAGATGAATGGGTAAACAAATAGTGGTATAGTCAGAGAGTAATATTCAGAGATAAAAAGAACAGATGACTCATAACCATCACTGGTAAATCAAGAAACACTTATGCAGCATGAAGGAAACAGGAAAAAAGAGGAAACACATTAGGATTCCAATCATGTAAAATTCTAGAAAATGCACATCTATTGTTAAGTATAGTAAATCAATGCCTGCCTAGGGCTGGGGAGGGCAGGGAGATTCTAAAAGTGCCCCAGGTAAATATGTAGGCAGATATGCTTATGCTCATAATGGGCTCATGGGTTTCTATGTGCCAAGTCTTCAAATTATACAGTAAAATATGTGGTTTATTCCATGTCAATTGTACCTCAATAAAGCTTTCAAAAAGTGGTTCCAAATTAAATTCTCTATCCTCCACTCTTTCTGGAAAACCAGGTTTGGCAACCCTACATTGACCGCCCCCATCACTCTCGTGTACTGACAGGTGGCAAATACTGGCGAGCAGTGCAGGCCGTTGTCACCTCAGTCAACAGGAATGAGGGCTGGGCTACGGGATCTCCGCTTTATCCTTGCATTCCTGTCTGTGCAGCGGTGACCCTGAGGTGAACTGTCAGAGGCTACCAGAATCCACAAAAACGATTTGCTGTGATGACAACCAGGGCTGCACACATGTAATTCTTCTGACACTACCCCAAATTAGGTCTGATTTCAGATTAGACAGTCCTGCATAAAAGTGCCTTCATTTCAGACATGTGTTCATGGAGTCTAAACCACCTGAATTTCTGTCCACCTAGCTACAAACGTGGGGGTATCCACTACCCCTCAGGTTCAATAATTTGGTAAAATGACTCACATAAATCAGAAAAGTGCTATGCTTACAGGTTACTTTTATCCTATCAAGAAATAATAAAGGAGCAAAAGGTACACAGAGCAAAGATCTGGGAGGATCCAAACGTGAACTTCCTTCTCCGCCAACTCAGGGCGCAGCACCCTCCTGGCAAAAACAATGTGCTGTCAGGGAAGCTCACTATCCACTTTTCCTTGGAGTTCATTTTGTAGGCACATTCGTTTGAATCACCAGCCACATGACTGAACTCAAATTCCAGCTCCCTACCTTCCCTGGGGGAGCTCTGGTAGCATAGTGCCCAAGGCACTTGACTGCTAACCAGAAGGCTGGCGGTTCAAACCCACCAGCCACTCCTCGGAAGGAAGAGGTGGCAATCTACTTCCATAGTGATACTGCCTCGGAAACCCAAGGAGGGGTCACTATGAGTTGGGGCCGACTCGACGGCACATAACAACCTTCCCTGGCAGCCGGGCTGATATCATGGGGTTGATTCCTGGTATGGCCAACCTGGGTCACCTCCTTAGTGTAACTATAGCTGTGGCTCAGTGTCCTACATAATGGCATTCCCATCACTCATGAGATCCCAAGGTTGCCGAGGTTTCTGTCCAGGGCCCATGGACAAAAGCCAAATTCTCTGGGTGAAGTTCATTCTTCACCTCAGCAGTGTCCCTCCAGAGTCCACACACCAGCAGCCACTGGAACGTGTGTGGAGGCACTTTTAGAAGAGGTGCACTCCATCTAACTTGCAGTCTCCTCCTCTCCTTTTCACCCAATGTTTCTGTACCTTCTGTGGGTCTCTCTGAGCCCTCACAATGCTGGGCAATGTGATCTTCCTCTCATGTATGCTATTCTCAGAAGCATGGAGGGTTTTCACAACTGTGCCCTCCTCAAAGTGACCTGAGAGCTGTGTGCGCCATGCACACACAATGGCATCCAGGTGACAAAGTCCTAGTCTTTCCTAGTGAGTTTTGGGCAGTAGTGCAAATTAGGCCCAAACTGAAGGGAGAGCTAGCTATATTCTATCCTAGCACTGTCTCCTCGCAAATTTTGGGGTCCTCACAAGAGCTGTTCACCCCATGTCATGGATTACGTCCCCACATAATGTGTCAAGTTGTCTGGGCCATGATTCCAGTGGTTTTACATAGTTGTGTAAAGGCATAATTTGGTGGTCATGTAATGATCTGATCTGATGTGATCAGCCAATCAGCTCTAAGGGGATTAGGGTGGGAACACTCTTACATAAGTCACAGCTCTGATCAGATATGAGGGGAGTTACCTGCATTATCTTCCATTTTATAAAAGGAGAGAGAAGCCAGCAGAGGGAGGACCTCATTACCACCAAGAACCAGTAGCTGAGTGCATTCTTTCGACCCAGTGTCCCTATGCTGAGAAACTCCTAGACCCAGGAGAAGACTGATGCCAAGACATATGAAGATGTCCAAAGGACACCAGGCCTACAGATACTGAAAGCCAAGGTCCTTCCCTCAGAGCCAACAGAGAAAGGTCTTCTGCTAGAGCTGGCACCCCAAATTTGGACTTCTAGCTCCTGAACTGTGAGAAAATGAATCTGTTAAAGCCATTCATTTGTGGTATTTCTGTTATAGTAGCATTGTATACGAAAAACATCTCTTTAAGCTAGGAGATCCGAATACTGTTCTCAAATCACCCAACAATCATAGTGAATGGGACCTCCCTTGCTTAAACACCAAGATGTTTCTGATTGTACAAACCAGAGCAGTATGTGGCAAAAGGCTCCCTGGTTGGCAGCTTGGAAGGTGGAAGCTTGTTTTAAGTATCATGGGAGACCAAAAATATCCCTGAAAGAAGGTAGTCTTTTGGACAAAATGCCACAATTCAGATCAGGCCCTCTGGGCAGAAGTTAGGTTGAGACTAGGCCTTAACTTGTCACAGGGAAGGGAGTAAGGACCCCCTCAAGGCTCAGGCTTCTCAATTTGCTCCAGAGAAAAGGTGGGGACAGATACCTGCCTCCCAGAGCATCCTGAGCTGGTGACTGACACACACTGTGGAGACCAGCCATAGGGCAGAGGTAAAATGGTGTAGGCCACAGACATGCGCAATGATGAAAATCTGACAGGTGGACTTGGGTTTTTCAGCCCCTGCAATCATGTGAGTGAGGAAAATCCTCCAGACTAATTCCTGACCCACAGATTTGGGGACTTGCCAGCCTCCACAACTGCATGAGCCATTTCCTAGGTGATGTAGTTGATTTAAACTGGCTGAACTCTGTCTACCATGGGGACTGTGCTGGTACGTGAAATATTGTAATACTGCTGGTAGTATATCTTCCAACGTGCCAGCCACCATGTACAACAAACTGACAGATAAGTGGTGGGAATAGTATGTATACAAATCATTAAATGGGAACTTAATTTGCTGCGTAAATTTTCACCAAAAACACAGTATTTTTTCAAATTATGAAAAAATAAATCTGATAAGGGCCTTGGGAATGTTATAAAATGCAATGCAACTTGTGAAGGCTTCCCCCATGCCTACAACTCATAGGGAATCTCCCCTCTGTGGATGTTTGAAGGTAGAAAGGTCAGTTCAAGATCAATCCCTCACCAACGCTCACCTCAAGTGGTGTTATTCTGAACAAGGAAACAGCACATTCCCTGCACATCTAAGGTCCTTCTCCAGTGTGATCTCTCTGGTGTCTAATGAAGGATTTACAGTGACTAAATGACTTCCCACATTGCCCACACTCATAACGCCTTTCTCCAGTGTGAACCCTCCAATGCTGAATGAGGACTGAGCGTTCTCTAAACGATTTCTCACATTCCGCACACTGATAAGGCCTTTCTCCAGTGTGAATTCTCTGGTGGTAAATGAGTAAACATTTGTATCTAAAGGATCTCCCACATTCAGCACACTCATGGGCACTAACTTTAGTGTGAATTCTCTGGTGGTGAAGGAGGCTGGACCCTCGGCTAAAGGATTTTCCACATTCACAACATTCATATAGCTCTGCTCCTGTGTGAATCCTCTTGTGTTTACTTAGGTAGGAGCAATAGCTAAAGAATTTCCCACATTCCCTGCACTCATAAGGTCGTCCTCCAGTGTGACTTCTCTGGTGTTTCTTAAGGTTTGAACTCTGGGTAAAGAATTTCCCACATTTGCTACACTCGTAAGGCTTTTCTCCAGTGTGAATTTTCCGATGTTGAATGAGGGTTGAGGAATCTCTAAAGGATTTCCCACATTCCTCACACTTATAGGGCCTTTCTCCAGTGTGAACTCTCTGATGGTAAATGAGTAAGCACTTGTATCTAAAGGATTTTCCACATTCGCCACACTCATATGGCCTTTCTCCAGTGTGAATCTCCTGGTGCTGAATAAGTCTGTACTCGCAGCTGACACCTTTCCCACATTTGGTACCCACACAATGTCCCTCTCCAGTGCAGATGCTCTCGTGGGGAACAAGTGTGTGTTTGTGACTGGAAGATTTCCCACATTTAACCCACTTGCAAAGTCTTTTTCCACTGTGAAAGGCCTCTCCACAGTTGACGCTGCTGGGTGGCTTCTCACTCTTACGAGTGGCCTGGGGCCGGAGAAGGCTTGGGGTTGATGGGAAGTCCTTCCCAACATCCCCACAGGTGAAAGGCATCCCTGACACACAGAATGTGCAGCTCTTCATAACCGAGGGCTTGTCCTCGTCTTTTCTGAAGGGTTTCTCTCCACTGTGGCGCCTGTGGTGCTGGCGAAGGCTTGCTCTCATCCAGAAGCATCTCACGCATGCCCCACCTGAGCAGAGATTCTGCTCAGGGTATGTCATTTGCTCAGTCAGGTGTAAAATGTCTTTCAGGAATGGGACACCCATCTCCCAGGGGTGAGTGTTCTCGGTGGATAAACCTGGCTTTGACATCTTGACCTGTGATATTCCTTCTACAGAGAGACTCTGCTTAGAAGATGCCTCCTCGTCCTCTTTTTCAAGCCAAGAACCTGAAAAGCACAGAAAAGCTGATGAAATGCATGCTGACTTTGCTGGGCAGTGGAAGCTCCATCATCAATTTGCGTCAGACACAGCAAGGAGTCCATGGAATTATTACAAGAACAAGGGAGTGGAAACGCTGAAGAATGGGCTGCTTGCCAGTGCTGGGACTCTAAGATTATATGGACAATAAGACAGAGAGACGCTCAGGAAGGAGAGGCAGGGTCTCCAACTCACCCTCTGCCAACAACCCTCGGGAGGACCTTAGGACTGGTAACACGTGTCTTCTGCACAGAAGAGGGTTATGCTCAGGACCGGGGAAATCCAGTGGAATTGGGAAGGACTGTTTACACACCTCATGACACACTACATGTGGGCCAGTGTTGGAGAACACTGCAGAGAGAGCAGTGGAGAGGAACTGGTGATGGGTGGCCAGAGATGTGGACTGGGGCTACATGCACAGCAGAAATAAGTCAACAACCTGTCAAGAACAGGTAGAAATTAGGTATGGCCATTGGGCATTTGCACCAGAAGACTGGTAGACACAGAGTAGATCCTGGTATAACACAGCTCTGATGTCATGCCTTCTGTAATAAAAACCGTGAAACCTAGCTAACCCTGCCCTGCTTGCCATACATAAGCATCTCCCAGGATCCCTGCTTGTGGTTACCCTGTCTCAGGTGCAATGTTCTGAGTGGCCTGGAACGGTGTGAGGTGTTCTCTCTGGGGAACTATGAAAGCATCTCCCAGGGTCCCTGCTGGTAGTTACCCTGTCTCAGGTACAATGTGCTGAGTGGCCTGGAAAGGTGTGCGGCATTCTCTCTGGGGAACTGTGACTACAATGTAAACTTTAATACTTTCAAGGTCTCTGTTTTGTGATCTGCATCTGACCTTGCCATAGCTCATCCAAGGTAATATAATTAAAATGCCCTTCCTAGTTGCCACTCGGCAGGGCCGCACCTCCCTAAGACCATCTTGTTCACTCTCCCAAGTAACTAGAATACACCCCTAGTCCCAGTTGTGTAACTACATAGGATCTGTACAAGGCAACACAAGTACTCCAGGGACACATGGGAGAGGTGAACAGCCAGCACTGGTCCACAGTAACTCAATCCACAACAGGCCACAGGAGATAAAACTAACACTACAAAAACAAAAACCTCTAAAGGAGGGCATTGCAAGAACAGGCCATGGTCAATATAAATAGTGGCCCTAACAATGCCTGTAATTCCAAGTGAGGAGGAAATATCAGCTAGAGGAAGGGGGTAGAACCTGGGCACAGTCATGCTGTCAAGCAGAAGACAAGAAAGAAGAGTTCCATTAGGCTGACAGTAAGACCCTGACTCCCAGATCCTCCCTGCAGGCTGTGTGCAGCACGGGTGGGGCTGCTCGGAGAGTACACACAGCTCAGCCCTGGCCCCCAGAGCACACATGCCAGGAACAGAGGGAAGGTGGCAGTGCCATGATTTGGCTGTAGAAAGATAGAGCTGTCTCTGGTGGAAAGAGCAAAGGCAAAGATTAGACTGGGACACATGTGTGGGTGTGAGGGTCTTACCCAGGGACGCTAGGATTGCAAAGTTCTCCAGCATCACATCACAGTACAGCAGCCTCTGAGTCTCATCAAGGAGCCCCCACTCCTCCTGGGAGAAGTCAATGGCCACGTCCTCAAAGGTCACACAGCCCTGCCAAGGTGGGGACAACAGTTCATTCCATTAGCTTCTCTTCTTGGGACCCCAAGTTCATCCTTCCTCACACTCATCTTCTGTTTATCGTGCTTCCCAGCCCAGAGAAGATACCACAACCTGATGTCACTGATGCCCTCTCCCCTTAGTCCCACTGATCAGTGTCAGCCATCAGTACCAACAGGATGTTGGCAGAGAAGATATGATCTAAGTCTGGGTTGGGCATGCAGGGCCATGCCCCCTATTGTCAGGCAACTGTCTTGTGGTCCCAAGAATATATCTCCCTGACACAACCATATATGGGCTTACCTGAAACCTTAGGTCCCTATTCCAGGACCCTGGAACCATCAGTTCACACTCATCTCCATGTGCACATGAGTCTTTGTTCCACACTCTCTCTCACAGCCTTCTCCTGCTCCCTGCTCCACACCATAAGCATCCCCTGGCGTACCCATACGATTCTCAGTATGAGGCATCCAGACAGTGGTTGGCAAATTTAAACAGAATTCAGCTCTACCTCAGACCTCACTAGCCCCAAACCAGCTATAAAAGCCTCCTTGCCTGACTCTGTTCCTTGTTTAAACCTCAGCCTCCCAGAACTACATGTAAATCTCAGTCACCCTTGGCCTTCTTCACCTTAGGCTGCACCTGCTGAACCACACCAGTCACAGTCTTTCCCTCGCCACCTAACCATCGTTCAACATCAGTTCTCAGTGGCCCAGAGATAATCCACAAGCTATACCGAAACACTTCAGACCACACCAAGGGCCACAACAAAATTTTGGTTTATCTACATAGCATGGCAAATAAGGACCAATCCAGGCCTCAGTGTCATGTTGCCTCTATTTCTACAGTGTCTGCACATCCATCTCATGTCTACTCAGTCCCTGGAAGCCTTGGCCTCCAACCAGTTCATGCTGTCTTCTACAACCTTCCCATGGCTACTTCTCCCGTACCTGCATTTGTGACCATGCCCAACTACGGGTTCCAAGCAAGAGATCCAGTGCTCCAGCCACACCCTCCCCTTCCTGGTATGCTATTAGCATTACTGCCATGACCGATTCCCCTACCAAACAGGATCCACAGCTCCAACCTGGTCCACACACTGGCAACTACCTTTGGAGATGTCTCCATCCTGAGCCTTCCCCAGAGGTGCAGAGCTGATGCCATCTGCCCACTTACCTCTACTCACTTGCTCTCCAAAACATCTCATACGTTTTTTAAATCTTCTTTTAAAATCTTATTTAATTGTTGTTGTTGAGAATATGCACGGCAAAATATGCACCAATTCAAGTTTCTACATGAATTAACATTGATTCTACATGAATTAACACTGATGCTACATGAATTAACATTGATTGCATTCTTCTAGTTGTGTAACCATTCTCACCTTCCTCTTCTGAGTTGTTCTACCCCCATGAACATAAACTCACTGCCCCCTAAGGTTCCTATCTAATCTTACGAGTTGCTGCTGTCAATTTTGATCCTATATAGATAATTCTTAAAGAAGTATATTGTTTAAGGCAGACATTTTCTACTAGTTAAGCTAAACTACTGTTTGGTTATAAGACTTCAGGGAATATTTTTGGTTTAAGGATCATCTCAGGGAAGTAAGTTTCAGGTGTCATCTATCCTCAATGGCTCCAGGAAGTCTGGATTCCATGAGAATGTGACTTTTTCTTTGTACATTTCTCCCCCTTTTGATCAGGATTCTCCTATAGAATCGTTGATCAAAATGTTCTGTAATGGTAGCCTGGCACCATCCAGTTCTAGTCTCATGGCAAAGAAGGCAGCTGTTCATGTAGACAGCCACACATTCCATTTCCTCCTCCTGTTTCTGACTCTCCTTGTTTCTCTGTTGCTCCAGGTGAACAGAAACCAATTGTGCCTTCGACGGCCACTTGCAAGCTTTTAAGATCCAGACACTATACAACAAATTAGGATAGAATAGAAGTACTAAATACATTTTTAGGTCAATTAACTGGAATTCTCATGAAACCACAACCCTAAACCTATAAACCAAGGAACCAAATCCCATGAGGTGTTTGCCTAAACATAAGCAGCTTCAGCAGCTACTTTTTGTAAACATGTCCATCACACAACTTTAGCCAATTCAACTTTTTATAGGTGTACAACTTATTGACAGTATCTATAACCGTCGGCTGTGCAACCCTACCCCTATTCAATGCATTTTTCCCATCACCGTAAACTGAAACTCAGTACCTCATTACCAATAACATTCTCTTTTCCCCTTCTTCCTGCTCCTGGTAATCACTAATAAACTTTGGTCTCTGTATACAATGTTTGTCCTTCTTTGATTAACTTACTTCACTCAGCATAATGTCTTCAAGCTCCATCCATATCATAGCATGTATCAAGACTTTATTTCTCCTAATGGCTGGGTAGTATTCCATTCCATGTATGTAGCCCATTTTGTTTATCCATTCATCTGTTGATGGGTAAAAGGAGCACTGGAGGCACAGTGCCTAAGGCATCTGACTGCTAACCATAAGACCGGCAGTTCAAACCTATCAGCCGCTCTGTGGAAGGAAAATGGGGCAATCTACTTCCATAAAGACTTACCACCTTAGAAATCCAATGGGGGTTGCTATGAATTGGAATCAACTTGATGGCAATGGGTTTGGTTTGGTTTGGTTGATGGGTATTTAGGTTGTTTTCCCCTTTCAGCTATTGTGACTAATGCTACAATGAACCCTGGTATACTAGTTTCTTTTTGAGTCTCTGCTTTCAAGTCCTTTGGGTATACACCTAGGACTAGAATTGCTAGGTTATATGATAGTTCCTAAGGCATTTGACTGCTAACCAAAAGACTTGCAGTTCAAACCCACCAGCCACTCCTCGGAAGGAAGACTAGGCAGTCTACTTCTGGAGAGATAACGCCTCGGAAACCCAAGGAGATGAGTTTGGGTTTTTCTTGGGGAGGATGTAGTTCTAATTTTAGTTTTTTGAGGAACTACCACACTGTTTTACAATGGTTACATTATTTTGCATTCATATCAGAAATGGAAAGGTTTCTAATTTGCCCACATTCTTGCCAATATTTGTTTGTTTGTGTATGTATATATATATATATATATATATATATATCTTAGCCATCTGCTTGAACAACTTCTCTTAGAAAGATCAGCACAAGGCCGGTCTCCATGAGGCAGAGGTTATAAAGATGTCCCAAATGTCCAAACTACTGTGCCACTCCATCATTTCAGACATTAACTCCTCCTCCTCCCAGTAATCTCCCGTCTTAGGGTTCCGTATTTCACTATTACGGCTCACAGAACTCACAGACACCCAAGGGATCATCTCTTTTTTATTTTTTAATTGTGATTTGGGTGAAGATTTACAGAGCAAATTCACTTTCCATACAGCAGTTCACACGTACTTTGTCTCATGTCATTGACCACAGTTTACCACAATGCAACAGCTCCCCTCACACTTCCTCCCCATAGGTACCTCTTCCCAGTGCCCCTCCATACACTCCTGTCCCCTGAGCTGTCTCCCTGTGCATAAGCAGCCCATCTTTCTCCCATGATTGTTCTCTCCAAGGAGTGTATCTACTTGAGGTAAATGTTCAACTCATATGCCTGTATTTTGTTTGGCTGGAAACCACAGGTGTGGGTTCAATTCCAGACCTGAAGGGCAGCTAGGGGCCATAGTCTCAGTGGTTTCACCAGGCTCTATCGGACCAGCAAACCTGGTCCCCACTTTTTTTTTTCTCCAAATGATTTTGAGTTTGTTCCACATTGTTCTCCCTCTTTATCAAGGGTCTCCTACATAGATCCCCTTCCAAGTGGATGATAGTGGTAGCCGGGCACCATCTAGTTCTCCTGGTCTCATGGTTGTATAGGCAGCAGATCGGATGGTGTACCAGTTGCTACGACTAATTGTTTCAATGAATTTTGGTTTTCTTCATTCTTCTTTCCTCTGGACGAGGAGAAACCCATTGCTGCATCTAGATGGCAGCTTGCTAGCTTTTAAGATCCCAGTCGCTACTTGCCAAAGTAGGAGGTGGAACAATGTTTTGTATAGTATGTTATGCCAGTTGAGCTTGATGTCCCCTGTGACTATGGTCCCAAGTCTGCAGGTTCAACTACTCGGTCCCTCTGAGTAGCTGGCTGTGACCAAGCAGTGACCACAACCTTGCCCCCAGGGGATCATCTCACGTAGTAATGGTGGAGGCTGGCAGGCTGGCAAATCCCAGGTCTGTGAGTAGGTCTGGAGGATCCTCCCAATTCTCAGAGTTTGATGAACCTCAATCAGCAGATCAGATGACGGCTGCTGTCCCAAATCCAGGGGTGAGATGACGATGAGCCAAAACACAGAACCGGAGCAAGAGAAGGGTGAACCTTCCCAGGAGAGTCGTAGGTAAACCCTCAAGGAAGCTAAGGGTGGTGATACGAGTTATACCCTCCAGCAAGGCAGGACTCAAGATACATTCCACCTATGTTGCTCCAACAGAAATAACCCAAGTGCATGGCTTTAACGATCAGCAGCTACTCAGTTTCTCAAGGCAAATCCCACCACAGAGCCAAATGCCAGTCATTATGGGGAACAACTACTGCCAGCTGCCCAGCCAACTTGACACCTGACCTTAACTACCACACCACCCCAAACAGGCATGGATAACGGGATTTACAATACATCACTGAATGGAGAACGATGGCTAGAAGGGCCACATCAAGCAATTCACTGCACCATCCTAGTGGGAGTGGAAGGGTATCTCACTGTGGTTTTGGTCTACATCTCTGATGGCTCATGACATCAATCATCTTTTCATGTGTCAGGATGCCATCTGTATGTTCTCTTTTGTGAAATACCTATTCAAGTCTGTTAAAATGGCATGGTGGAGGCATCTGACCTCCTCTGAATTCACAAGGGGAAGGAGGATCAAGATCAACAGCCCAAGGCTAATTCCTATGAGGCAGAGGTCAGACATGCCTCACCCTCCAAACTTTTTAGCAATTCTGAACCAATTGCCCCTC